CTATGTAAAAAAATTATTTACCTTGATCAATGCTGTGCGTACACGGTTATCGGGATCATTGGCTAAAACCAATAACAGTTCAGCTCTTAAAACATGCTTTAGCACTGATCCAACTTGACAGTCTGGTAATACTCTTACAGCATCTCTCAACAGTAACAACAGCCCTTCGCAGACTAAGCCTTGACAAGCTTTTTTCTCATCTGCATATGTTGATGGTCTTTCCTAAGTGGTAATGCACACACGTTCAAATGAATAAAATATGAGATTATATTATGTAGACTTTTTTTTTGCTACTTACATTGCTCTGTGGAATAGATCCATCACTAGCTGCAATTCCGGAGTCTTCTCCACCACTAGTATTATCCATCAACAGTGCACTTTTACGATCTTTCTTTTTGGGACTTCGAGTCTTTTGAATCTACAAAAGAGTGAACAATCGAATATAATATTTGTGTAGTTTTTGCAATTAAGGAAATTTCACACATATTTGCAAAAGTTCACACCTGTTCGTTCCTTAATGCCTTGTCCAATTTACTATTTTCCATCAAGTTTATCGAATCATTGGAAGAAATAGAAGCGTTGTCGCTTCTTTTCAAATTTGTTTTCGTCTCTCTGAGTTGCGGCAACATAAAATAGATATTTTGTCGCGAGTGAGTGACATAAGTCTCCGAAGCTTGATGAACGAGAACCAAATAATCAGTGATGGCGACCAAATGAGCAAACTCCGGCGGTGCGCCCATCAAGGCGCGTATCAGTTCCACAATAGCGATTCCAGTATTCGAATCCAATACGGCATTTACCTCTTCATTTATTTCGTACATGAAGTGCTCCTAGAAAAATAAAAGATATCACTAAGATATATATATATATATATATATATCACATATCAATGTATAATAGCATTACATTAAACAGAATATTTGGTTTACCTTACACAAGGTAAGGATCGTATCTACAATTCCAACCCTGTTTAATTGAGATGCATTGAATTCACGCTGTGAATGTTGATCTCGCAGTAAAAGTAGCAGCGTTTGCAGCAGCAAATTTAAAGTATCGTATTTCGCCCATGCTCTCCATGCAGTAAGCGCGGCCTTGATCAATTCTGGATCTGTGATAACAGCCTCGCAATTCTGAGAAACTGGAGGGTTGCCACTGCCGATGTCTCTGATGATGATCGAGCTGTCGCACGCCGCATCCAACATCGCCTTCAGAATGTGTCTACCTGCGTGGCACCGAGACGACTCTAGAACGCGAAGAACCAGTAATGTCCCGCCATTCGATCGGTATTGGTTTAAGAGTTCTGAATCACTACGAACAAGATGCAGGACTGTGGAGAGAGCCAGAGCCTGTTCTTCTTCGGTAGAGTTTAATTCAACTACCTGCAAGCAATCATGAATGTTTGGATGCGTGAAAATACATGCATTTCATTTACCTTTTTTTTTTAAATTAATTTTTATGCAAGAAATAGAGATTCTTAAAAAGAGAATACTTACCCTCGCAAAAAGATATAAAAATACTGGTACACCACCTACTAAAATCGCTGCAGGTATAAGTCCTCGATATTGTTGGTTTTCTAAACGAGTAGATACAATCGGGGGTATCGATAAAGGCGGTTGCTGCGACACCCTATGTTCTGGAGCTGAGATGATTCTAAAACTTGGTTGGCCCGGAAAGATATTTTTCACAATAACTACAAAAATATATTACTAAATGCATAATTGATCACTATGATAAGATCACTAACGTATTGTGTAACGTATCATTTACCAGCAGGATTACTGATGGCTTGAGGATACAAATGTACGATATTAGGATTTTGAGCCTCATAACTGAGAAGCAAATTATCTTGCAGCTCGCCAAGATGCGAGTTTGTCGCATCCATAACGGCGTCCCAGTCAATTTTCGATTCTGACATCACTTTCTCAACAGCATATCTCAAATAAGTACCACCGTAAGATTTTCGTCGACTTGAATCAAATGTACCTCCTTCTACAATGCATAAAAATAAAGTATTAAATTTTTCGTAGAAATATAAATTTATATTTGGTATAATAATATTATGTATTGTATTAACCATATTTAAGTTCGCAAACACCATTCAGTGCGCCAGACGCAATAAGGGGCGCAAAATCAGGCTTCACAGTGTTTAATATACAATCTGCCAAGTTGGTGTAATTTGGTCCGAGACTTGTTAGATACAACGCACGTTCTTTCGTGAATACTGGACATCTATAAATAACGGTCAAATTAGACGTACATATGACTCTGTGTTATACATGTTATACATGAATTACTGTCTATATAATGCGAAATAATGTACCTAAAAACCATTAAATTTCCGAAGTACCATGCGCCAGTACTGCTCGACCCGATTTGACCTAATAAAATGCATGTAGTACCCGGTTTTCTCATCAATAAACCGTCAAACGGTAATTGAGCATTGACCTCTTTCCAACCATCTACCCAAAGCGTAACTTCAACTACAGCACTGCGCTTATTCAAGACGGTATCTTTAAAATTTAACGTTAAGTGATGCCAATGTCCCGAAGGAAGCATGTCGTTTATTGAAGTTTCAGAGATCGTTCGGTTCATCTTATCGTCCGGACGAGTGAGTCGTAAAATTAATTTATCTAGAAACGATTAAATTAATGAAATTAAATTAATCAATATTAATTTCTGTTTGATTAATATTTTGTGAATTTTAAAAGCAAATATTTTACCTGATTTTAGATCAAGCCACATTTCTAGAACCAACGATTCGAAGCCAATGGACATTAAATGTATTATCGACGTTGGTGTGGGTGGCGACACAGAATCTGCTACGACTAATGATCCCGAGAAAAGATCAGATATTAGATATAATTTTTCTAAGACAATTCGAAATGTGCACGCGTTTGAATAAGAAATAACAAACTTATTGCTATAAAATATGCAATAAAAATATCTCTCCCCGTATATTAATAAGTAAATGACAACGTACATACAATTATGAATATTGTTAGAAGAATTTTAAACGTAATCACACCCAATAATACTTTTTACTAACCTTCTCGATTCCAATTGTCAGAAAGAATACCCCAATCAGATAGACTCTCGTTGTCCGAGTCGAGCAATGGTGAAGCGTTATAGACTGTCGCACGACTACCGATTGACATTCCTCTTTCTATCCTTAGCCACAAGGAAGCGGAGCAACCGTGTAACCATACTGGCCAGGCGAGTTCCGGACCGACGGGTAGACACGTCGCGTGTACAGACCACGGACTGCAAATTCCTGCCGCGAGATGTTTATTTCTGAAATTTTTCACGAGATTCTCAGCCTTCTCCAGATTTTTATGTTGCTCCGTTTTCGACGATGCTTTTATATCGGAATGCACGGGGAACGACAAGATAAAATTAGGTTGAGGTCGTGCCACCAGTACCAAGTGATACAACGGTTCCAGCAATGGTAACAACGGTGGTCTTTCCGCTTTGAAGAAAGACAGATATTCGACTAACTCGGTCGATGAGATTGATTGTGTCGTCAACAATGTAAAAACTTCCAACGCCGCGTGTTGTAGATCTGAAAAAATTCATCGTATAGTATCCTATTACTTATCCAATAGGTATACTTTTCGCACGAGTGCTAAAACTACCTCGATATCGTGGATCATTATTAATGAATACATTTTTAAAGCCATTCAATAGCCTCATAATAGTTCCTGAAGCTGCGAGAGCGGCGCAAGTTGAGGCACTTTCTCGACACGTGCTAGCGATTCTTCGCAATCCACCAGTTATTATCGAGCCTCTCTCTAAATCTAAACCTCTGTAAAAAAAAAAGCTTCATAAAATAAAGTAAATAATCCGTTAACATATGTATCAAAGCTCGAAATCTTACTGTTCACTGAAGTGAATTAAAAGATCTATCGCCAAGGAACATAAAGCAGGATGCGCATTAGTATGACCTCTCGGCTCTACTACAAGCCCAAGAGGACTGCTCTTCTTGGAGATGCTGTTATTGGGACTCTTTTCAGGTATTTCGATATCCGCTTCGTATCCATCGTCAACGGTTATATATTCACCGGTGCTGCTATCCTCGGCGCTGTACTCCGGTGGATTCTCTAACGACAAAGTTGGTAACTGTAATAAAAAAAGACACACACATATCATCAACACAAAAATATTTAAAATTTATTATTTTTCACAAGTAATGTAGAAATTTAAAAATTGATAACACGTACTCTAGGACGCGGTTGTTGAGGTATGCTATTCTCCTGCGTCGGCTTCAGCATAGAAACTTTCAATATTGTATCCACTATCACAGCTATTCCACGACCGAGCTTCATCCCGGTACTCGTCAATATTTTTCTTAATTCCATGACTATGTCACAATCATCTGCATCGCAGAACATTCTCGTTATATAAAATCGATAAAAGTAATAAAATAAAACTTATTCAGCAAATAATAAATAATTTCATGTATATAATTAGACAACCGCGATTTCAGGAATGACGTTTACCATCTGTCTACGTTCTCTGAACTGTTTTTCTGTCAAGCAAATACGCGAAACATCTTTGGATTATAATTTTGCAGCTGCATGAGCACCCGATATATGCGTATATATACATGTATGTAATGGACATTAATGTATATTACACATGTATGCTTATTAATCAAATTCATAATATGAACAATACACTTACACAACGGAGATATCAGACAACACGTAATCAGAGCCTCGAAGAGTTTATGTGCCGATTTGCCAGTATCTAAAAGAGCACGATGCGTTTATTAATACATGATAATTCTTTCAGATAATTATTATTGCTCCACAATTATATGATTATATTGTACAACTACCTTCAATACTGTCCGTGGCGAGGCCTACAGTTAACAGCCTGAACAAATGTAGCGATTTCCCGAATACAGGATGCGCGGACAATTCGGTACGAAATTTCGGACTGCATAACGCTACACCCGCAGCAGCTCTCCACGCTATGCTAGCTTGATATAAACTGAATCTCTCGAACGATACGTCTGCATCGTCGCACACTTCAATAACTTGGTCTATAAAAGTATAAAGCTTTTTGAACGAATTCGAAATTATTACGGTATCTATCGTATCAGTCTTGTTCTCTAATTGTTTGCAGTGAGTATCATTTTCAGGCAGTTGCGATAAAGTTGTTGTATCATCGGGACTTTTAATTGCCGTTTCATCGATTTTTACATTTTTTACAGGAGATAGATCAATTTTCTCATTGTCAAAACGCATGTTGGATGTATCTCTGTTCTCGTCTCGCTGATCCATCTTTTCTTCCATCCTTGGTTTCTCGAAACATCGTAAGCAATTCAATAATTCGTTCGTCTCTCTATCAAGAGATTCAAAGAGAGTCCTAGTCGCGACGGGCATCTCAATGCTTTCCAAATTGTCGAATTTCTCACCACGCATCTTCCAAATCTCTATAGTTACGGTGACTTCCAAAAGAGCATAAACACTTCTAGTGAACGCCGCATTTGCCATCAATGGTAGTATTTCGCACAATCCGTTTATCTCCATAAATCTCTCACACATATGCGCGTTCACGATTAAACACGATATAACAGACATGCAAGACTGCAAGAGAAACTTTGCCGTTACATCGCTGTTATCGATTGTGTAACATTCTTTAGCGCGCAAAAAAGCCGGATAGAAAACTCTGAGAAGAAGCTGTTCCCTTACGTAAAATCGGGAACCGGATGTAACTTGCAGTAGATGCGCCATGACGACGTAACAAAGTTTCGGATCGCTAGGACACAGTAAATCGACGTACATTTCCAGAAAATCCCACGAATAATTCGCCGGCCTGACACAAGTATTGCATGCGTCTGTCACTGGATAAGCGCCCAATTCTTTAAAGAAAATACGTTCGAGAAATGCTACAGCTGGCGCGTAGGTCGAGAAATCGCGTTTTTTGAGGAAGGCGACAACACTCGAAATAAGTATCTTGGGCGGGAAACAACAACACGTACCCGCGGCGGTGATGATCTTGATCAATCTCACTTGTAGCTCGCTTGCAAACAGATGAGACTTTTTCAATAGACTCATGAGTGTCGCGAATAGTGAGGAAATGCAGCACATCTGTTTATTAGCTACATCAACAATCGATTGGGAGTACGGTACTCCGAGCACATCTGAATGATGATAACTCTGAATGTTGTCGATGCAGAATCTATGCTTAGTCCTGTGGCACTGCATGGCGTGTGAGAGATCGTGGCGAACATGCTTCAATCCGCTGGTCAGCGCGCCTATTATATCGATTATCTTCTTGGCGCGTACTATCGATTTTGTCGCATCTATGCTGGGTAGATCGACGATTGCGAATATCGTTCTCTCGACAAGCTTACCATCCTGGCTCTCAACAAAAAGTCGGAACAGTTCGAGGAAATCCGATAGCTTATCGACGTTGCTGCCGCGTTGATGTAACAGGCAATAAAGAAAAGTAACAATCCCGTAGATGGTGGCAAAAATAAATTCCTGCAATAACGAACCTTCCTCCGGCTCCAATACGTTTACCGGTTTGCTGCAGGCATCTTCCAGCAATCTCAGAGTCATCGGCAGCAGGCCATTGTGAATCACCGCCGTAGTAGGTTCGTCGGCTCTCAAAGCGCGTTCCAGAGCTGTTAACATCAACCTGGCGGCCGCTGCTTTCAGAGTAACGCAATCTATACCACTCAAATTATTACCGTCTATGCCAAATTGTAGCGACCACAGCGTATCCAGGGCAAATTTCAGGACCTGCACTGCCGGTGTTTGCTCGGCGGGCGTGTCGTAGTCACGCAAACCCTGTAGCAGCTGTATGATGAGCAAACTAATTTCAAAGTTGCTGATCTCGGCAT